GAGCGCCGACAGAGGCAGCAATAGTGAAAAGTATAGTAATAAAGAAGCTTTGTTAATAAAACTATCTTGAACTCATCTTAATTATAACGTATAACTTTCATAATAATAAACTTAACTTGATCCACTATCTCCTCTTATAACTGTAAAAAGAGACCTGTTAAAAACCTTCTGCTATATAAATACTGTTAAAAGAACTGGAATAACAATACAATACTTTTAGTAATATACAGTGATCTCAAGTTTAAAATATTAAAATTATCTCTAAAATCACTACTAGTACTAATAACTCTATAAAAAAACAAATTACATGTATTTTTAAGATATTTTTAACATAATTATCATATTTTTTAAAATGTTATAATTTTACCTTGCACTGAAAAATGAAAATTACACAAAAAATACCCATTTATCTTGAACAAAAACTCCTTGATTTTCAATATTTTGTAATTCGTTTATGTTGCCACAAGAATTTTCTTCTAAGTCACATTGTGAACATGAATGAGATGTCAATATAATTTGATATAGTTGGTGATTTCACAGTTATGTTTTGCCAATGGATAAAGCTTTTTTTCATAATCATCTTCAAGAAAAAAAGATAATTGACAACAAAAAACACCTCCTTCTTCATCTGACATAATTATTATCTTTCATGAAAAGAGCTGAATAGATGAATCAGGTATATTGATTTGAACTAAAAGTTATACTAAAAACTGATCAGGTGATAAGCAAAAAGAACCTGCTCTTCTTGTTTTTGATTCATTTAAGAAACATCTTACTGATGTCAAAAAAGAAATTAAAAAACATAATACTGACCTTGTTGTTATTCCTGGTGATCTAATGTCAATATACCAACTACTTGATATTTTTATTAATTATCCTTTTAAAGTTGCACTTCACCATTATTGATATATATGAATAACAAGTAATAGTGTTGAAAAAACCAAGCAAGAAAACTTAAAACACACAGAGTTGCATACTATATATAAGTATATGCTGGCTGTATGAGTAAAAATCAATTCTGAAATTATTTAGCATGCTTTTTTTTAAGTGTTTAATTTCTAATGCTATGGCTGGATCAGAGAATAATGAAATTTACAATGATGAAATTTATAATTCTGGTGAAAATAATAAAAATAAAGATCAGAAGAACAAGAAGAAAATGATGATGAGAATAGCATTAATGATAATATGATAATTGATGAAGTTAAGAAAATTGTTTGTATTCATATTGAATGATTTTTAATAATTAAAATAAAGAGTTGTTTATATTCGGTACCTATGGTTTTATCTATTTTTATTTTCAAAAAGGGGGAGTTGTTTATATTCGGGGGTTGCCTATTTTCGGAGATATATGGTAGTTTAGAGACATAACCGAAACTAGTTTAGGTTATAGTTATGTCCCTCCCGGATAGTTTAGGGATCCATCTTTAACCTTTAATATCCTCAACCAATCAAAACTTGGGGGAGAAATAAGTAAATAATATTATTGATTATCATTATATTTTTATTGGACGCACGTAACTTATAGATGTTTCATGTTTATATTTTTTCTCTGTTACTAAAAATATTGTTATATCATATTAGTAGTACAACAACACATAATGTCTATCATCTGACATCTGATCAAGAAATAAATTGTGAAAATATATTCAAAGAAATTTGAATTGACGCGTCCTTTCAAAAATGGCAAGTCATTATCGAAATTCACGATACTTCATTTTAAAAGATTGTTCATAGGAAATGCATTTTCTAGTAAAAATTTGCTTTGGTGATAATTTAAAAGAGACGTGTTACGTTTGTTACGATTATTATTAGGAAGGAGTAAAATACCTTTGCACGTCGGCGGAAGAAAATGGTATGTAGTATGTCTTTCTACCTTACAGTCATTCATTTTTGGCCAAAATTCTTAAGTTCCTTTAAATAATACAACTTTTTTTTATAGCTCATTCATATGAAATTACTGCTGTGAGATGGGCTCCCTTGGGCAACATTGTAGTGTCTGGCTCTCTTGATTCTTCTGTGAAAATATGGTAGGTTTTATTATTTTTCGTAAGGAAGTATTGAAATTGCCATTGAGATACATATAACATGTTTACATTTTTTAAAGGGATGGAATATCAGGAGAATTACTTCGTGAAATTCCAAAAGCACATGGATTAGGGATTACATGTGTTGATGTACATCCTGAAGGAGCAGGTAAAAAGTTCGCTGTGTTGTTATATGCAATTTAATGTATATTGACACGAGGTTTTTTAAGAAATTGCGACCACGTCCATTGAAACTGAAATTAAAATATGGGACGCTAATTACGCGAGGGAATTAGAGCAGATCGAGGCTAAATCCTGTAAAGATTCATTTTAGAATTTTCATAGATCAAGATAATTGTTTATTGATTATTTTTTATGCTCCATTAATACTGAATGAAAGTGCAAGCGTGGCATGGTCAATTCTCACCAGACGGCAAATATTATGCAGCTGGAACTGCTGATGGAAAAATCAATCTTTGGCCAACTGCAAAAGCATATCGTGAACTCGTACAGTATGATACGGGCCACTCAAAATTTGTTCATTGTGTTCGATTCGTATCCCCTTTTTGACAATTATGGTTATTGAGAGTTCTGAGATTTATAAATGATCAATTAAGGAATTTATTCAGTATCCTTGACTTTGTTTTATTAGAGTCCTGATAAAAAATTTGTTGCCGTTGGAACGGAATCTGGTGGAATTTTCATAATTGATTATGCAACAGGAAAATTATTGTATGCACTTTCAGGTACGTTTATTATTACTATTATTATTATTATTATTATTATTATTATTATTATTATTATTATTATTATTATCATTATTATTATTATTATTCCAGAAGGTTTAATTAACGCGGTATAAATGATGTATATTTTATAGGACACAGCAAATTAGTTCGATCTATTGATTTCTCAAAGGATTCTTCGTTGTTGATATCTGGATCTGACGATCGAATGATAAATATTTATGACATGTATGCAAAATTGAGCAGAAGCGTTTCCATATGATTGATATCAATTTTTTATTGCTCGTTAAATGAACAGAAAACATGGTAATCGGATAACAAATATGCCATCACAAGACGGCTGGGTTCTTTCTGTAGCTGCATCCAGCAGTAATTCTGCACATTTTGCCTCCGGGTACGATTTCAATTTTCAATTTTTTCATATGGAGATCAATTGAATACAAGCAATATTTATTTTAATAGAACAACTGAGGGAACTGTCAAGATCTGGGACATAACTTCACGAAAATGTGTCTGGTCATCCAACGATCATAAAGAATCTGTAATTGTTTTTTTTTTATATTCTAGAGGATAAAATTGCCTATTTTCAATTTTCAAATCATCATAATCAATCAATTAATAGGTATGGGAAATCTCTTGGAATCCAACGAGTGATATTTTCGTGACTGGATCTGGCGATAAATCTTTAAGATGGTGGTCAAGAACAGGTGAAAAGTAAGAGACCAATAACAGTGATTATTGATAAAGAATGCTTTCCATCATTTAACAATTGTAAAAGATAGAATATGTGATGATATTTTTATTTATTATTGATGCCTTATACAATGAGCGAGTTATAGCCTTAAATAAATCTTTTTTCTCTCATACACGTGGGAATTTTTTGAAACGTAAGATTATTCATTGGCGAAACCTGACTGTGTTATCCCAACTCAATTTAGTAAGTGCAAAAAAAGACATGCTCACGCAGCATACCTGAAGAACTCGCGTGTCACAAGCAACATCCACTCACCCATAATAATACCCAAAGAAATATACAGAAAACAGCCAGTCAGTCCAGCAGTAAGACGGACGGGACTCGCTCTTGCCAATGTTTTAAATTTTCCTGTGGATCTTATAAATAATAATAATGACTTCAGTGAAAGAACTCCCAACAGCGACGGTTGAATCAACTGATTCACAACTACAACAAAATGACACCACTTCAGCTACGAGTATAATCGTTGCTTCATCTGGAAACGAACTACCACCACCAAAGGAAATTAATCACATCTCTGAAAAACATAAAGAGAACAGCAACAGCAGTAAAGACCAAGTCAAACCAACTGGGCCAATAGATTACACTTCAAACCCGAATAGTAGCAGCGCGTCTCCGCTACCTTTGTCTCCGGTCCCAAACTTTTATTATCCAAATGGCGCTACACCTGCTTACGTGGAACAAACTGCTGCAGAGGCGTATCAGGCTGCTATAGCAGCCGGATATGATCCAAGTGACCCGAATTACACTGCTTACGGTCAATATGGGATGCATCCTCAATATTCACAATTTTATCCCGATTACGGTGCCGGTTATCCGGGTACTCCTCCACTTAATGCACAGGCTTCGCCTTCTCTACCTCCTCAACCTTTGAGTCCTTACTTTACCGCGACTAGTCCAACAATAGCCTATTATCCTACTTCGCCACAAGTAGGCCCCACTGGATTAATTCATTCTCCGCCTATGCTACCTTACCTATATTCTCCACAAACGCCTTATAGTATGCATGCTCTGCACACACTCTCACCCACATTATCACACACTTCTTCCTCAGCCCCGAATTCTCCTCCGGCTACATATTTACCTGGGCCAGGTGTACCTTCTGTACCTTCTCCAAAAGTGGGCCCTCTTAATAGTAGTCGTGGTTTAAGCGGTAGTCGTTCTCCGCAGCATTATACTTATGGACGAAGAAATTCAGGTTCACAACAAAATCCTAATATGCCTAATTATCATAATCCAACAAAAACAACAAATATCTATATTCGTGGATTGCCACCTACAACAACAGATGAAACTCTACATAAAATGTGTTCGATGTAAGTATGCGTTCAGAGATTTAGTGGGGTGGAGTTCGGATTAAAATTAAGTAGCCGATTTCCAAATGAATGCAGGCTGGCAGGTGATATCGAATATACCATATATATTGTGTGTACATATGTTTACCGGCATAGAGCCTCTGCTTTCATCATTAATTCTCATTGTTTCTTGTTTTATATATATGTGCGTGTGTGCCGATATTTATTAATGTTTAAATATAATTTATAAATAATATTTATTAGCTACGGAACTATCACTTCATCAAAGGCCATCATAGACCAGAAGCAAGGCGATTGTAAAGGATATGGTTTTGTAATGTATGAAAGCGAGGACCAAGCCAAACATGCTATTGAACAATTAACACGTTTGGGTTTTCAAGTGTCCTTCGCCAAGGTCGGTTATGTGAGTGTAACACGCATGTTTGTGAAATATTATTTATCTTGTTTTTTATTCATAATTGATATCGGATATTTACTGGTTTTTTCGATTCGATAACATCGAATAAATTATATAGGAATCATTCAGTACACGATTGAAAAATCTGCAGGATATGGCATCAACAAATATATATCTGTCTAACTTACCATTGGAAATGAATGAACAAGTTAATTATTTTTATTTATATTTCAATATATAATATTAATAATAAATCATAATAAGTATAATACTAAGAATGAAATATATAAATAATTATGGGATCCATAGCAATTGGAGGAATTGTTCAATCCTTATAAAGTAGTGTCTAATCGAATCCTTAGAGATACAAATGGCACTAGTCGAGGTGTAGGATTTGCCAGGTATCTATCAAACTCGTTGTTTCCTATTCTATCGTTTATTTTGTCCCTGCTTTAAAATTAGTGTTATGAAATTTCCGTTAAATGACATGGATAATCCATATACTTATTATGTGCAATAACGTACATAACTACTTTTAGAGTACCAGATATTCACCTTGTACTATATATAATCATTTATTTAGAATGGAAGATCGTGACTCGGCTCTTGCAATTATTCAGAAATTTAACGGATATCAACTACCTGGAGCTAGTCTGCCTTTACAAGTACGATTTGCAGACTCGCTAGCACAAAAAAAGCTGAAAGGACAGACCGCAAGAAAGCGTATGTTGTGGGATGTTGGGGAATTTGATATTTTGGGCGGCGGTGTGAGTTTATGATTTATTTGATACTTTTTTATTAACTATTTTTCTTTCTATTCGAAATAAGCATTCAAAGCTATTAATGAACTAGTAAGTAAATCGAAGAATATACGACTATTTTTAATATAATAATCTACATTGATATTTATGTATTGTATTCATAGACTAATTACCCTCAGGTCCCAGTCACTCCTGAGCATATGTTGGGGATGGCTGCTCCTGGATCACCACCTGGTCCTGGTGCATATTTACCTTATTATCCTGAAGGAGTGCAACCCTCCGGGTAAGAAATTCATTTATCAAAGAAAAATTTACTTAATAAAGAGTTGTCTTTAGTAATAATAGTGGTCTTGTATTTGTATAAAGTGCCTTTCAACAAGGTTCTTTGTCGCCAACATTTGGTCCTCAATACGCTAGATACTATCAACCCATGTACGCAGGTCCTGCAACTGCAGTACAACCAGGTGCACCCGGTCATCCTCCAGTAAATGCCGTCACACCAGCTGGTCAACCTGCGTCTGAAGTAGTGAATAACGATACATCATCCTCATCTTCAGGTAATAAAGATTCAGCAGAAGATTTGAGTGAACTCGTTCAGAAAAAATTGAATGTTGAAAGTGGAGATAACGATAATGTCGAAAAAAATTGATGCAACATTATTATCTTAATTATAAAGTAAGGCAATTGTTTTTGGCAATATATTTTTATAATTTAACTTTACTATTAATTAACGAGTGTACCAAAATTTTAGCATCTCTTTCTATTTTAGAGGATACAGCAAAAGCATGCATAGCTTTATTTTATTGGACATTTTCTGCTGTGCTTTCTTTATTTTTATTAAATTTATTTTTTTTATTTTGCGAATTTACATTGGGTCATCCGAACGATTTTTGTTGTTAATAATAATACTAATAATAGATCTCTCATATAGCGAATTTGTATTTTCAATATTTTCGTTTTGTTAATTCTACTATTTTTCTCCCTTCTGCCCTCCTTATTTTCTTACATATCTCACCACAATAACATTTCACATATATTGACGCCATATTGATTTCAATCATCTCGCGATATCCTCTTCGCATTTGTGTGTCTCCTTGATTACGGCCTTACATACTTTTTTGTTCTCTCTTTATTACTATTACTAACCTTACACAATCATTATGATTGTTTGGAAATTTGGCCAACAATAAATATTGAATTTTGACAACTTCTTTTTCTCGACTGATTGTTTGTTTAAATAAAAAGAAATAATATATGCAGAGAACAAAAACTGGTGTATGGGCAGTTTTTCCGTATTATGTAAGTGATATTATCTATATATCCTTCCATGCTATGGTTTTAAGTCTATTTTTTTTCTTTGTAAATTTTAATACTTTATTTTTTTCAGTTAATTTTTTGATGATATCGAAAAATATTTTATATTTTTTCCTTTAGTGATTTACAATGAGCGTGGTTGGTTGGCTTATCGAGGGCAATAGGATGGATAACTTATGTCTCGTTGGACGAATAAAATTGAATATACGATTAAAGTGAATAAAGTTGTTTATAGATTTTTTTTGGTTTAATAGAATATCTATCAATAGGATATATATATTTAATAAATATTCACTATTGACATAAAAAGTTGATATAAAAATATTGTATAATGCAATAAAATCTTTTTTCCTTTAATAAATTAATTACCAAATTATTGTTTTTTTAATTCTAATATATTTACTCTCTTTTAACAAATTATTTGATTAAATAATAATTAGTTGCATATTGAAATAAATTTAAGATTTCAATTCAGTAACTCGAATTATTTAATTTGCAATTAGTCTGATTTAGATATAATTAATTAATTGTAATTAATTAATTAAAAATAATTTATTAAGGATATACGTAATTATTATTATGAATCATTTTTTATTTTGTATTATTTTTTTACTTAATATACAATTATTTCAGATTTCTTATATTATTGTAAATTTTTATGAATAAATAATAACTTTCTAATTTATATTAATATTTTATATTTTAGTTTTGTTAACTTGCTTTTGATTAGGTAATTTTCAATTTGTTTGTGTATTCTATAATTATTATTTTTGCAAGTGTTTAATTATTATATGGTGTATAACATCTAAAGTCATCAAACATTGTATTTTATAAAATATATAAACTTTTCAACTAAAAAACAAATACAAAATTTAATCCGTGAATATGATAGAATAATCTCTTTCTGAGCATATTCACGAATTAAATTTTGTATTTGCTTCTTAATTAAGAAGTTTATATATTTTATAAAATACAAACATTTGATAACTTTAAATGTTATGTATCATATTTGATTATAATTTCTAGCTATAGTTATTTTTTTTAAAATATATTATTAAATTATAAAAATTGGTTTTTAAATATTAATTATTTGATTTTCAAAATTGTGTTTTTATAAAAATTATTTTTATATAAAGTATTTTATATAAAAATATAATTATATTTTATAATAATATTTTTGCTATTAGTTTTTTATTATAAATATTTTTTATTTATATAGTAATTAATAAAATTATAAAATTAAATATTAGTATTTCTATAAATTGAACTGAAATAGATTTTTATTTAAATTTAAGTCTGGTTTGAATTTGTATCAATTTAAATCAGACTTTGACTTGAATTCAAGAAAGATTTAAAGTTTAAATCAAACTTGAACTGAATTATTAAATAAGTTTGAGTCTAATTTGAGTTTAATTTAAAATTAATATATAACTTTAAACATGAAATATAACTTTATTTATAAGTACAATTTATAGTATTTAATAAGGATTAATAATTTATTTAGTAATAATTAAAATATTTTTATTTTATATTTTATTATAAATATTATATAACTCTTTGAATATTTATATTTATTAATTATTATATTAATTTGTAACTTTTTATTTTTGGTTACAATTTATTTGTAACTTTTATAATTATTATTAAAAAATAAATATTTATTAAAATATAACTAAAGTAAATTAAATTATAATAATTAAAAATATTTTTTAAATCTATATAATTTTTTGAATATTTATTCTCAATATTAATTATCTTATATCAATTTATTATTTTAATTATAATTTATAACTTTACTTAAAATCTTATTAAATATTTACTTAAACTCAAACTTAAATTCAAGTCTAATTTGAAGTTTAAATCGATTTTTAATTAAACTTGAATTTTTGAGCTAGATTTTTGATTAAATTTGAGTTTAATTCAAGCTCAAACTGAATTAAACTTGAACTGAATCAAACTTCTTTTAAAATCGTAATATATATAATTTTATTAATAAAATATAATAAAAATTAAAATTTTTGTCTTATTTATAATAACTAATAAAATTATAGAATTATATATATAATTTTATTAATAAAATATAATAAAAATTGAAGTTTTTATTTTATATAAAAGTTTTAATATATATCTTTAATATAAAAATAAAAATATTTATTAATAAAATTGAAAATTTTTATATATAACAAAAATTTTATATGATTCTATAATTTTGAAAGTCATTATATATTTTTTTTAAATTTTTTAGATTTATTTAATTGCAAAAATTTTTTATAATTAATTTTATGTTTTAATTATTAATAATTTTTATATTAAAATATAATTTATGATTTTTATTTTAATATAAAAACAAAAATTTTTATTAATAAAATTAAAAACTTTTATATAAGACAAAAAATTTAATATTTATTATATTTTATTAATAAAATTATAATATAATTTCATAATTTTGTTAGCTATTATATAATTTATAATTTTATTTTAATATAAAATAAAAAATAAATTAAAAACTTTTATATAAGATAAAAATATCAATTTTTACTAAGTTTTAATAAAATTGTATACATAATTTTATAATTTGTTAGTTATTATATATTTTAATTATAAAAAATTAATTAACTTACTTTGCTAAAATTTATATAGAGAAAAACTCATATTTTATTTTATTTTATTATATTTTATTAGTAAATTTAATATAACTTAAATAATCAAAATAATAATTATTATCAATATTATAATTATTTATAATATTTTATTTTACTTAGTAATAATAATTGATATATATTTATTAATAAAATTTATAATATTTTAGTTTAATTGAATTATTAAATTAGATTATTAATTAATTTAATCATTTCATTAAAAGATTATTTTTTATATTTCTTATTTTTGTTATTCATATTCTCATAATAAAAATTTTCAATTATTATATAATTATATAATAGTGTTATATATTATCTTTAAGTTGCAAAAAATCTGTGCCAAATTTTGTCAATTATAAATCAATAGCCAATAAAAATACACAATTTTTTAATCAGCATCTAATAAAAATATAGAAATTTTTTATCAGACTGGTAAAACAAATCTAATACAAGAACAAAAAATATAAAAAATACAAGAAACTGGTATCTAAATCTAGTTTAGAATACTAGTTAAAAATATCAATGAGATAATTTTATATATAATTTCTTTTCTAGTCCTAGCTCTAATCCTAATTCTTTTAATATTTATTAATATTATAATAAAATTTCTAAGATTAACAAAATCTGATACAAATTTTTTATGTATTATAACTTGTTTAAAATTTTATTTAAAAATTATATTATTGCTTGAGCTAAAATTAGGATTGAGATTATGAAATAAAATAATATATAATTATCTTTCCATTATTTTTTATTAATGTTTTAAGTCAGATTTTGATATCAGTTTTCTGTATTTTTCATATTTTTCACATTTTATTAATTTAAGTTATATTAATTCATATTGTCACCATTTTCAGAGTCATTTCCTATGATGATATTTCTGAAATATGGCGAGTAACTGTATTCAATTGAAAGATCAAACTACTGAACTATCAAAACTTATAATTTAAATATCAAATATTAAAATAATAGAGTTGGATATAACTTTTAACAAGAAACTTAATGAAATAAATACAATAACTATCAAAGCTTTCCTGAAGTATCGGTCAATAATAGCTATATAAAAATGCAAATACAAATATAATAAAATAAATATAAATATTGTCTCTCTTTAGGCCAGCAACACAAAAATCAAAATAATATAATGTCTTCCTGGCATCTTTCAAAAATCTTAAAAATAATAATGTAAATAATAAATAAATAAATAATGCAAATAATAAATACGAATATAATATGAATAATAATAGAAATATGAATAATAATTTCTTGTTAAGATAATATAATTAAAAGGTCAAAATAATATAAGTCAC